GTTTTAATAAAGTATTTGTAAAAACAAAATAAAAATATATCAAATTTAATTAAATGTAAATTTATGTACATTAATTATAATTAAAAATATATGTTTAAATGTATATATTAATATTAATATAATATATATATAATATATTATATAATTATTTGGTTTTTAATAATTCTTTTCATATCATTAGTAACAACAAACATTGGTCCATGACCAGGTATTATAAAATTTGCCAAATCAATTATATAAGATCGCATATGTGATTGAATTTTTTGTAATTCTTTAGTTCCTAATTCCTTCCAAATGAATGGATTTAGTATATCTTCTTCTTTTTCGAATAAATCACCTATAAAATTGATAAGAATATGGAAATATATATATAAACTATTTATAATATTATCATATTATATTATTTTTAAAAAATAAACCTGTAATAGCAAAACATGTAGGTTTTTCAGAAATTGTAGTTTCAACTAAAACTGTAACATCATCCATTGTATGACCAGGAGTTGCTATAATTTTAACTTCTGGGCAAATTTGATATCCTATATATATATATATATATACATATATATATATTTTCAATAATTATAATTTTTATATATTTAATTTTATGCACTTATATAATTTTATTAATATATTACAAAAATTTTACCATTTTTTAAATCTTTATCGAAAAATAATTCTCCGCGATGTACACAAGTTCCTATTATATGTTCTGCATTTATAAAAAGATTATTGTTTCCTATATGATCAGCATGACTATGAGTACAAACAACATAATCAATTTTATCAGGTGTAACATTATGTTTAATAAGTGCTGAAATAAATTTTTTATTTAAGTATTTTAACATTAAATTGCAAATATCAAATAAATAATAATACCTTGTATTATTTTTTCTCGATCCCAAGCTGTCATAGTATCAACAATAATATTCTTGGATGCCTTTATTAATGTACAAGTACAATTTGCTTTCATTGTTCCATCGTCAAGTTTTATAGAATAACCATTAAATAAAACAATTACTTTGCACATTTTTGAAATTAAAATTAAAATTAAAAAATTTATTTTTTTTAGAATTATATATTATAATAATATATATTATGTGCCTTATGTGAATAAATTTATTTCATTTATTATGACAGAAATGCGATAAATTTGAGAAATATTGCACAATACAGTGCATTATATAGTGTATTTAAATTAGTATTAGTACATTAGAGGTTATATATACCGAATTAAAATATTCGTGATCATATTTGTATTAAATAAAAAATTAATGAAAAAACAAAATTTAAAATGAAATTGGTAATTGTAATTATTATAATATTTTAATATAATTAATATAAATAATTTTTAATTAATAAAATCATTAAAATAATCTTAGTTTTTAACATTATTCGTAAAAATTATATTTTAAATGTTTATATTATAGTATTGCTTATCAAGTGAACCAACAAAGCCATGTTTGGTATTAAGTTTCAAAGGAATTACATTAATGTTAGATTGTGGTTTAAATATGCAGTCTATATTACATTTTATGCCAATGCCTATGGTTCCCAGTACTAAATTTAATTCTTTGCCTTTGTGGCTTCCACGTGATAATCATCAAGATTGGCAAATAGAAGGGGTTTGCATAATATATTTCTTTTATTATATATTTCACACATAAATTTGTATTTATGTCAGCATTCAATCTTCTAGGAATTAAAAGAATGCTGTGGTAGAGTATTTGTAGATTCAACACCTGAGTTTTCTCCACCTTTAGAAAAAATAGTAGATTTTTCAGAAATTGATGCCATTTTAATATCAAATTATACTTGTATGTTGGCTCTACCATTTATAACAGAAGATACTGGCTTCAAAGGTATTATTTATGCTACAGAACCAACATTACAAATTGGACGATTTTTTATGGAAGAACTAGTAGAATTTATCGAACAAACTCCTAAAGCTACATTAGCTAAACATTGGAAGGAAATGCTACATGTATTACCTTCTCCATTAGCTGATGCTCTTAAACCAAAATCTTGGAAACATATATATTCAATGTCAGCAGTTAATACTGCTTTATCTTACATTCAAACAGTTGGATATGATCAAAAATTGGTAAGTTATAATATAATATTATTTTAAATTTTTTTATATTTTTTTTATTTTTCATAGGATATATATGGTGCATTAACAGTTACTCCTATAAGTTCTGGATATTGTTTGGGTAGCAGTAATTGGTTAATTTCATGTGATCATGAAAAGGTTGCATTTGTAAGTGGATCTTCAACATTGACAACACATCCACGTCCTATGGAACAAGCTACTTTAAAACATGCTAATATGTTAATATTAACAGGTTTAACTCAAACACCTACTGCTAATCCAGATACTATGCTTGGAGAACTCTGCATGACTGTTGGTAGAATAAAATTATTTTAATAATATTAATAATATTAATAATCAGTTAAATTTAATATAAATAATTTAATGTTTATATTAAAATTTTATAGCAATGACACTCAGAACTGGAGGATGTGTTCTAATACCATGTTATCCATCTGGAGTTGTATATGATTTATTTGAATGCCTCAGTACTCATTTGGATAAATCTGGTTTTGCACAAGTTCCATTATTTTTTATATCACCAGTAGCTGAAACTTCTTTAGCATATTCAAATATTTTAGCTGAATGGTATAGTTTATATTAAATGAATATTGCAAAACTATTTAGATTATTCACATTTTATATTTATTACAGGTTATCAACAAATAAACAAAATAAAGTTTATCTTCCTGAAGAACCATTTCCACATGCTTTTCTTGTTAAAAATGCCAGATTAAAACATTTTACATCTACATATGCTGAAGGTTTTAGTTCTGATTATAGACAACCTTGTGTTGTTTTTTGTGGACATCCCAGTCTTAGATTTGGAGATGCAGTTCATTTTGTTCAATTATGGGGTAATAATTCACAACATACTATAATTTTTACAGGTAATTTTTACATATTATATTACTTTGATAATGCATTACAAAGTAATATATAAATTTATTATAAATCACGTAATTTATAAATTTTATATTAATATAATATAATAATATAAATAATAATTCTTTCAGAACCAGATTTTCCATATTTAGATGCTTTAGCACCATTTCAACCATTAGCTATGAAAGCAGTGCATTGTCCAATTGATACATCTCTTAATTTTACTCAAGCTAACAAATTAATTAGAGATTTAAAGCCAGAACATTTAGTTATACCTGAATGTTATACACAACCACCAATAACTGCACCACATAGAACAGATCTTGTCATAGAACCTGTAGGAGTAAGTATATATAATATTAAATTAAAGATTATTTCGATTAATTTTTAACATATTTATTTATTTTATATTTAAGGAAAAACCTTTAATTACTTTTAAACGAGGTGAAGTTATAAAATTGCCTTTAAAAAGAAAAAAGGGACGAGTGTTTATTGAACCAGAACTAGCGGGAAATATAATTCCTAATGAAATTCGACCTGGTTTAAGTCTTGCTTCTGTTACTGGTGAATTGGAAGTTAAAGATAATGTATATACAATAAAAGTATGTATTTTTAAAGTAGAACTTAATAAATATATATTTTTAAAAATATATTTTATTAATTAAGAATTATATTTTTAGAGTATTGAAGATAGACCTAGTGGGAAACGTAAAGCATCTTCTGGTTCACCTGCACCAATCAAAGAAGAAGTTCTTAAAGAAAGAAAACATGAATATGGTAATCTGGATCCACAAGAACTATTACAAAAGCTTAATCAAGAAGGCATTCAAGGAGCCAAATTACAACATAGTCCAACTGCTACCAGTATTCACTTAGTAAGATACTTATGCATCATAAAAAATAATTTTTTGATTAAATATAAAATTCATTTTTTATTACTTATATTTATAGCAAGATGAAGATACTTTGATTCAAATTGGAGATAATTCAACACATATTTTTTGTAATGGTGATCAAAAAATTAGAAGACGACTAAGAACTATTATTATGCAGTGTCTTAAAAGATTTTAAAAAATTTTAAAAAATAAATAATATATTATAATTATTTTATATAATTTTATTTTTATAATTATAATTGTATATTTGTAATTAATTTTTTTTGTTTTGTAGCATACAAAAGAATAAGTATTTTTAATCAATCATAAATAACATATTTATCAATATGTTTTCTATATACATATATATATATATATACATATAAAAT